AAATCGCGCGGCGAAGCCGCGAGACGAGAAAGAGGCACCTCTTCACCAGACTCCCTTCGCCGGATCGCTTTGCTCTTCATTACTCGCAGGCTAATTAACTGTCAAATAGGATAACCGTCAACCGTCAAATAAAAATCGAAAACTTTTTACCGTCGACCAAAATTTTAAAGGTCAACCGTCAAAAAGCCATATTTTGTTTAGCCGTCAACCGTCGAGGGTAACCCTCTCGTTGAGATCCTGTTAGGCCGTGATCCACACGCGATTGTCCCATTCTAATGCAAGTGACGCCTGAAAAGTAATCCATTACCTTCCCGTCATAATATCAAGCACCTCATCTTGAAGCTTTTCATCTCTCGCAAAAAATCCTCTGGTGTGGACAATCCGGATATTATTCTGCACGAAGTATTCTTCAAGAATAATATTGCCTTCTTTTCCTGTTCCTTGCTCAAAGGCGGTCTGATTCTCTCCAATAGCTCGCTGCAGCGTGCCTGGTTGAGCCAAAGAGAGTTGTGATTCAATTTATATAGACATTGGAGAGACAAATAATGCACCGTTGCTTCACTGACTGACAAACTGAAAGACCAGATTGTGTTCTTTTAACTTTCAAAAATTAATTTATAGAATGTGAAGGTCTCATTTTCATTGGGAGGACCTTGTTCTCTTTCCCTCCATTCTACTGCAGTCCACTCATATAAACTATATCATAATTTAATGACTCTTGCCATGTCTAAACCAGTTCATAAACTCTATCATATATTCATCACCTGCTGTAAAAAAACCTGTAAGCCTCAGGAGCCATGCTATTCAAACACAGAGTGTTTTGCAATCAGCCGATGGGTACAAAGAACTCTTTTGAAAACAAATAAATAAATAAAATGATAAAGAAAAAATAAAAATAAAAACAACCGCTCTTACCCACAAGGCTTGTTTTCCCAGAGCCTGTTGGTCCAATCAAAGCAATGCGTATCAAATCAATGTCGTCTACCTCCAAATTCTGAAAAGCTTCTTTCTTGATTCTGGGGCACTTATGAAAATCGTAATTCAACAAGTCAAGTCTAAGTTGTAGTAGCCTTTGTTCTTCTCTTTGTTTTCTTTCTGTTTTCTCCCTCTCACGTCTTTGACGATCCAACTGTTCTCTCTGTTCTTCGTGTTCAATTATCGCGCGTTCTTGTTCGTCATGCAACGCCTGTTGATGCTCTCTCTCTCCATCTCGTCACGCAACTCTCTCATTCTTCTTTCATTCTCTTCTTGGGCATTCCGTCGACCTTGCTCCGGGGTAGAGTAACTCTTCAAAAACAAACAAACGATTTAAAGAAAAAAAACTACTATAACAACCAAACATGTTTTGTAATGTTTTTATTTATTCATTTTTTTTTTAATTAAAAATGCAATAACGATAACAAGAAGCTTCTTATTACTTCTCTGCATCTTACACCCGCTTTCAGTGTTACGTGCATAGGCGACATCTTTCGAGCATCTTTCGACATGCCATCTTTCGACATGCTATGAAAGACCGTTAAACTGTGAAACTGGTAGTTTTTCCGGTTATTAGCGGAGGAAATGACAAGTAAATGATAATTACCTACCTCAAATGGCTGAAGAAGATTTTGGACTTTGCATGGTTCCCTATTTACGGTATGACTCAGGCGATTTAGTGTAGTCGATCGGTTCTCAATAGTGACTTCCGTTAGAATTGGGCCGCTGCCGCTTTTAATATTCGCATCGTGTAAACATTCAAAACTGTCGACTTATTTCTGCCAGAATGACTTCTTGATACTCCTAACCTTAATTTGATGTCAAATAAATCAATCTTTCATCATTACAATTCGAGTTCGACCGTAAAGACGTCCGTTGTGCTTTCATTTTTGAGTAGGCCAGGTTACATAGCAGGTCGAAAGATGGCATGTCGAAAGATGTTGCCTATGCACGCAACACTGAAAGCGTGTGTAATAGATGATTATCGCAAAGTCCCGGTTATGTCCCTCATCGCCTGACCTTCATCTACATTTGCGCGACTGAAGATATTGGTTAATATATCAAACTATAAAAAGCGTTCTATTACCATATTTTTACTGGAAAAGGGCAAAGTACTGATAGTGACATTTTGCAGTGTCTAGTTTCGACACTGTCCTCGTGGTACAGGTTTGAAACGTGTTTAAATTTTGACGACCATGCTGGAATTCAAGGCTTCGTCCAAACGTAAGGCAGATGCCAGGATTTGCTGAATTTCTTAGCGGAATTTTGTATTTAAAAACGAAAATTATCTGCCACTCTTACCTTATGTTCATTCAACAAGAACTCTTTGCATTTGTTGTACTCTTCCTCTGATATTGTGGTTTTTAGTTTGAGCTCGCTAAGCCCAAGCTTCTCCAAAACATCCGGCGTTACAAGTGTTTGCTCGACCACTTTATTGAGATGGCCGCTGCTGTAATCTTTCCACAGACCTTCAAGGATTTGTAGTGAGCTGCATGTCACTGTTATCATCAAACTTCCTACTCTGCAGTTTGCAACACTGACTCCAAGCTGAACTTTCAAGTACTCTAGAAGACTTTGAAGTCCGTTTAAGGCAGGGGAAAGAATAACTCTCCAAATGTAAGACTCCATCTGAAGATCTTGGCGATCAGACTGTGGTTGCTCCTGGTTTATAGGCACTGTAACTATGCTTTCAGATGTAGCTGCTACTGGTGATGTAGCGACCATAGACAAATGGCTTGGGCTTACGACGATGACAACGAGAGGTAGCCTATAATCTGAAAATAAACAAAAACAAATAATATCCTTAGACTAAAAAGAGCACACCGCCCCTGCATTTTAGACCAGACTATGGTTTTCTCATATTGGATAGCCTGAGGTCTGCCCAAACTTCGGATCACACACGGGTGTAGATCAAATGAAGAATATGAAAAATAAAAAGATGGAAATTCTGGACCATATTACTACGTCTCTACAAAGAGCTTATCGTGCCACATTTCTATTATTGTTCCACTATATGGCATTTTTGCGACTCTAGGAATAGGGATAAGTTAGAAACATTGAACAAACGTATTCTTAGGGTCATTTTAAACGACAGAGTTTCATCATACAATGCTCTCTTAGAACGGATAGGAGACTTCAGTAATAGACGCATACAAAACATGCTTATTACTAGTAATAATCATGGATTAACTGAATGCGTTCGAGTCAATACAGTTAAAAGCATTGGATACTGCCAGGATAATTATATTGTCACACCACGTTCCTGGTTTTGACATTTGCTGTGTGTAAAATTGGCAAGTATCATCCACCATACTCTGAACATAATGTTGTGTGCTCATTCCAGGCATGCGAATTTGCAAGTGCAAATCTGCAGTTTTATAGGGCTGATGTGAAACAGACTCAAAGAAAACAATCACTACCGCTGGTACCACGAACATCCTACGAAATTTAAGGCTTTCACTTAGGCAACCTCGGGCTAAGTCTCCATTTACATCTCCAGGAAACAAGTCTCCTTTTAAACAATTATTGCAATAATTTCCAGAATACATCTATTATTTCCATGGAATCTATCACTGAGCTACATAGATTTTCGGAATTAATATTACTCTTGAAGGCCAATTTATGTTTGCTGATTTTCATGACCAACTCATATTTGATAGTGTTCACTTCTACACCAAAAGGACACTTTATTGTAATTCTTACACAAATTCATGATAAATGAGGTGTTTGGCACACTATTCATAAACTGGT